CACACCTTTCTTAATTTTAAGACATTCAGTCTTCCCATGTTCTGTCTGAACAACTGCCACTTGGTCCAGGTACAGATCCGTCGTGAGCACAATTAGGCATTTCGGAATACTCATACTTCTCAATGTTGTCCATAGCTTGTCATGATCCACACAATTAAAAGACTTTGCGTCATTAATAATGCACAGGTAAACATCTTTCTAATATTCTCTAGTTTCAGCCAAAACCTATCGGACATCAGTAATTATATCCCTCATTCTACGGCCTCTTCTGAATCCAGCTTGAACTTCTGGAAGTTCTCTGTCAGTGTATACTTGCGGCCATTTCTGTATTACCTTTAGTAAAACTTTACTTGCTTGGAATATCAAAGATATTATCCTATGTCAGAGTAGAAATATTTAATTGCATTTTGAAAAGCAGATCACCATTCTTTTATTCCAGCTTTCCTCTGGATGAGTTCAAACCTCAAAACTTGTAGGCATTACCCAAGTTCTTAACCATCTGCACCTCTCAGAGACATTGTCAATTGTTGGTGTTAAATGCCATCAACTCAGAAGGACACTATGAAAGCTTTCCAAGGAGCGATTGGGGTGCAGTGAGCGGTCCCGACCTTATCCTACACCAGGACTTTAGCTTTGTCTGTAGAGCCTTGCGTTTAGAAATGAGGCCAGCTTCCCTAGAGGCCCAAGTTTGTCTAAAGGATAATAACTGTGTCGTAAAGTCCAAGACACCCAGTGTGGAATTAATACATATTCTACTATATTTACTCTTCCAAGCACTGATCATTGTTTAGCACCCTCCTTTTTATTTTTATTAAAAATATTGTGTATCATGGTTGTTGCTGTTGTTAGGTGCCATCGAGTCAAAACCGACTCATAGCGACCCCATGCACAGCATAACAAAACAATGTCCGATCCTGGGCCAACTTCACTACCGCTGCCACAATTGAGTCATCCATCTTGTTGGGGGTCTTCCTCTTTTTCTCTGATCCTCCATCTTACCAAGCATGA